GAGTGGAGGAGATGGAAAAAAGGAAGAATCCAGATGGAGTCTGGTCGGGTAAGAAAGGGAGAGTTCGGCGAGGCTAGTGTGGGTGTGGGGGAGAGAATGTAAGGATGAGAGGGAAGTGTGGATGGATGGGGGTGGTTAGAAGAGGATGGGGAGGAAAAAGACAACAGACGCATAGAGTAATGGGCAAGTAAAGAAAAATCCCTTCACAAAAAATCATGGATATGATTTTAAAAAAAAGATTCAAAAAGAAAAAAAAGAAAGGGAAGTCACATAAAAAGCATTAATGAGAAAAAAGAAAATAATAATAATAATAATAATAATAACAACAATGAAGAGAACAAGCAAAGCAGGCAGGGAAGCAAGCAAATCGCCAGACTAACCGTAAAGACGGAATACGCGGAGTGTGGGGGAGAGCCCGACTCTCTTCTCGCCCAGGGTCGGGGCTCCGGTCCGGCAACGCGCGCGTGGGTTGCGCAGGGGACAATGTCTGGCAACCTCAACTCGGGTAGATTAGGGAAAGGGAAGCTTGACGATAGATGGAGAAATTATGATTCAAGAAGCCCGGGGGGAGGAAGGGAAGGAAAGGGAGAGGGGACTAAGATTGGTATTAGTCCCAAAATGGCTTCTACTAAAGGCGGACTGGCCCCATCTGACGATGATGATGATGATGATGATATAGACGAAGAAGAAGTTGAAGAAAAAGAAGCTGAGAAGTCCGGCCGAGGGTTGAACAGCGTCAAGGGAATCCCAACCAGGCAAGGCGCCATCCGCATTTGCGGAGGCCCGACAAGAGTTAGTCCGGAGCGGGTCTAGTGCGGCCTGAGGATGCAAGGACGCGACCGAGCGGCCGGAGAGAATGAGAGTGTGGAGCAAGATTCCGAGTGCCGAGATGGGAAAAGACTCAGGTGAATAATGAATTTCCTGGAGAGAGAAGTTGAAGATTATGACCACTATATGTTGGACTGGCTATCTTAATAGATAGAAATCTACCTATGGTAGAACGGAAATAATAGAAACAATTGAAAGTATATCCTTCATTCTCTCTGCAATGGCGGTTGAAAACAAATCATAATGAAAAAAAAATCAATTTATGAGTGCAGTACTTCGTAAATAAGAAACAAAGCCCAGCAGCACCACCCGTGAATCAGGGAAGAGGGAAGAGGGAAGAGTCCCGAGTCGAGTCGGGTAAATTACCTACCCTCCTAGACAACTTGCTGGTTGGGTCACGGCGTCACGCTGGGTAATAATACACGGACTCGGGTGCCAGTTGGCGGCGACAGCCGATGTTGCTTCGGTATGTTGGCTGGGCCATGCCGTCTGGTGTTCCTCCACTATTCAGGTACTGTACGCCCGTACAATCACCCATACCCCCATGAGATCAGAAGGGGAGGTGTAGTGGTGGGAGAACCTTGAACAGGAGGGAAAAAGAGGGGAAGAGAGGTGAGATGGATCACAAAGATCATCAGGGAAAGACTCATTTTGTCGTCATTATTGAGTCTCACATACTGATTGATCATTTACACCCAGGCTAACTCCTGACTCCTGATCTGATCTGATCTGGTCTGGTCTCTGGTCTGGTCTGGTCTGGTACCGACCGACCGACCGAAGGACTGAGAGACAGAGAGACAGACAGGATGCCGGTTAGCAGCAGCCGTGTGTGGAACGTCACTTGACCGCCATCTGGCCCATTCCATTACCTAACTTGACCTTTCCCCAGCCCTGCTCCCGGCTTATTGTCGTCGATCAATGTCAGTCCCCGAGCAGTGACTGATCAAGTACTCCGTGGAGGTGGATCAATCAGGGTTTTTATGGCAATTGTTGAAGACAATCATTGAATTGAGGGTCTCTCTAATTGCTACAATAACACCTCAGGAGACGATTAGTCGAGTTAGGGGAACGGGGGTACCCAGAAGACATTGACACTCTCCCCCCTCCTTCTTCCCCCAGTGAAAACCGTTACAAAGAATCCGGGGATTGCATGACGCGAACCCCCAAAAAGACAATACCGCCGACCCGGCCACTGCGAACCCATCCTCATTCATTCATCCATCCATCCATCCCTCCCTCCCTCCCTCCCTTTAATCAATCCCTCTGTTCCATGTCTACATGTCTACACGACCCGACACATTAACATATCCAGCCCCGACCTTCACAACAATCCAACCATCCAACCACTCTTACTCGGGCACACGGCCTGATCGCTTGGATGCTGCCACTGCCGCCAGTCACAGCCCACCGACTAACCCAGCCACAATACCCCGGAATGCAAGTCTAAACTCAACCCCAACCCCAGAACAGCAAGTGACACGGGTCAATCCCCGGTTAAGCCAAACGGGACGGCGAAGGGTAGGCGACGGAGGAATAAGAACGACAAGGAGGGGCAAAAAGTAACGGCAACTGAATCTCAGCCGACCACAATTCGTGATAAACCTCGGGTATCGACGCATCTGACGGGCGAGCCAAGACGCCCAGGGCTGACATAGCCAGACGGCTTCCCATTTCTCGTTTTCGTGCCCCAGATCTCAGTCCTCTCGTCGCGGAGGGTATTCTCTTGTCGGATGTCTCTTTTCCCACCTCCCCTGCATCGGATCTCCCCGCGGGGGAGAAGAGCGAGATGAGATCACGATCAGCCCGGGCTCCCTTCGCTAGGCGCCCGCGGTCACTGACCGGACACCCTATGCAGCACAGAGTTGTCTCATCTGCACTCCCCCCTCCTCTTCCTCCTTCTTTCCCTGCTGCTGCTGCTGCTGCTGCTTCTTTCTTGGACCGGACTGAATGAAGAGAGGAAGATCGTATATCATCCCTGACGGGATTGGTTGCCGTCAGGGATATGGTACCCGATCGACAGAGTCCCGAAGAATCCTACTCGCTGACATCCAAGCCTCAAAAGGCCTGTGCAGCCCGGTGGTGGTCATGGACCCAATTGGTTATGCACCCCCAGTCCATTCTTGAAAAAATGTTATCATTGTCGTCACAGGCTGGTTGATAGGTACAGTAGGTAGGTACCTACCCTAGTACCTCTAGTATGCTGCACTTCCCAATTGGGCGAGTCAGCTCATTGTACTGTAGTTGCCTCAGTTAGTACTAAGTCTGTACTCCGTACAGTACGTATGATGATTGATCCTAAGCCGACCGATCGGAGCCAACCCGGCAAGTCCCCGCGCCCATTTAACCGGTTATCCCGTGGCCGCTCAATCGGGCCAACCGGGGATGCTGATTGGTCTCCACCGCCACCCGAGGCATCAAGCGAACCGACCCCGCAATCACGGAGAAAGGCTGAGGAGCAACTTGTTGGAATAATGGAAATTATTCATTAGTCATGATGCCCTGAATGGGGGCAGCCAACGCGCGACTGGTGACTGCACAAGACAACCCCCATTCCCCCAACTCCCTCCCCCCCCCCCAAATTCTTCCCCCTCCGGAGGTCGACCGATGTGACGACGGAGAGAGACTAAGACTGAGGAAGGAAGGTCCCTTCTGCCACTAAGCCACCACCTGCCCACCTGCTGATGTTCTTTCTGCTTGCAGTAAGTTCATCCGCCGCCTGTTAAGCCGCCGGGGTTGCTGGCTCGGGAGTCTGACGACGAGACCTTACCATGGGTGGGATGAGGAGACGCTGGTCGGCAAACCAACAAGCAACAACAATTATTCCTAGCCCTGGGAACAGGTTGTCTTCGGCAGACCATCACATGCACCTCTGAAATACGGAGAACGACGAGTCTGGTCTGCATGCCAGTGACCCGAGGATCATCATCCCGACCCCTCCTCTCAGACAGACGGTTAGACTAGACAGCCACAATTCTTTTCTCTTTCAGACCAGGGGAAAGAGAAATTCATCACAGTGGCCACACGGGAAGTGTGAAAAATCGAGAAATTACCAACCACAAAAAGAAAAAAAAAATCCCCAACGATCCCATGACCTGGCCCCAAGACAAACCCAGCCAAGCCATGCCCAGCCAACCACCACGCGACCCCCTCTCCACTCCGCCCAGTCCTTTGAGAGTCTTACAACTTCACCAAAGTGACTCCAAGGCAATGAAACCTATTGAAGCCCTCTTTCTATCCCGCTTTCGTCATAGCTCGGCTTTTCTCCCCAGGTGTCTTCCCCCCCGAATCGGCCAGGCCCGCCAGTGCGGTCAATGAACGGTCGACCATTCGTTGGCCTGTCCATGCCACGAGTCGCACTAATCCGAACAAGGCTAGCTGCCTCCCGACGGAGCACCAGAGTGGCAGAGCCTGGAGCTCGACTACCTTTTCCAGGGCCTGAGGCATCCCCGATTCTTCTCCGGTTGCTTCGGGGAAAGAAAAAGGTGGGGAGCGTTTGTCTAGTGGGCACAACTCTTTTCCGGGGCCGCGTTTTATCCATCAATTCCCTCACTTGCGGGTAATTACAGAATGCTGAACTGACAGCTCGCCAATTTTACTTGCTTGCCATGCTTGCCATGCTTGCCATGCTGCTAGGTGCTCAGGCCTTCCGCAATCTAGTCGTTGCAATGGTTGCACCTTATCTGGCTTGCACCATCTTGTCTCGGATTCACCAGATGCACGTGGTTTGCGCTCAACCCTAATTGTTTGCCGGGGTTGTATGGAGCGCTAATCCATCTTACTACAGGTCCAGCAACCGGATACTTGTCCGGTTGGTTCCTTCACGGTCTCCTTGTACTAGCAGGTGACTTTGTGCCTTTCTTCGCTCTCTCACCGATAAGTCCTAGATAGGCCCGGCCAGTATATGCTATCTTACCACCAAACGATTCGCTAAGATCGTTCGTCCCGCGTCGACCCCCTGAACATTGTAGCAACGGCTATGGGTTTTTTTTTTTTCGTTCCCGTCAGAATTGCACCCAGATTGCAGGATTCTGAGCGAACGCTCGGTTCCTAGAAAGCGGTCAAAGAGCCTAGCTGCCTACTAGGTAGTAAGCTGGAGTAAAGCTCATCCAGATGCCGGGCTGTCCCGAACTCAGCCGCACCAGAATAAGAAGCCTTTGGAGTCTCGATCTGCGTCTGAGAGACTGGATCTGATCCCGCCATTCAGCGGTTTTTACTTAGTAACAGCCTGTCATGCGGACATCCCCAGCGGGCCTCGCCTGTGGTGGCTTAAATTGGCAAGCGACGGACACAGCCTGGAAATTCGGAACATCGGGGTCCTTGGTTTCCGACATAGGTTCAACTTTCCTACCGGATAAAGCAAGCCGATTTGTTTACCAGTGCAATGCGATCGATGGGGGTGGTATCGCGGAATACGCTATGGGGTGTGGACACCCGTTCAAAAGGATGTGTGGCAAATCGATGCGGAGGACGACGAGCAATGGAGTAGCCGGACCCCAGACTCTGACATGTCACGTATCACCGTGTTCCCCCATTCCGTCCCCCTCAGATCAAGTCGGTTATGCTTTCGCGTTCCCCTCTCACCCTTCTCCTCCTCTTCTCGTCGCCGTGAGGAGCCCGGTTACCCGGGGAAGAGTGGTGGTGTTTACCCGGGGATAAATAAGTCCGTAGTTCGGATGATCGTAACCTGGCTCAAAGATGACAAAAGGGATGGGGGTATGGTTGAAAAAGGTACAGGATACGTAGACTCTGACTCTGTTCTAACACCAGAACATGTAGGAACATTGCACTCAGTCGAAGAATGCGGCTTTCAAGGTGGTGGGAAGCCCCTCCAAGTGACTTGTGAAGATGGCAGAGTTCACTCCCGATACCACCGCCCCGGGATTTTCCGTCCGTCGGCCTTCCGTCATTGCATTCAAATGAAGAATTGGAGACTGGCAGCCGTCGCGAACCGGATTTATCGATTGTTCTATCGTTGTATGCTTGCGTACGACCGAGGTGAGATTGGATCTTTGTGGACCAAAACTACTGTCTGCTACTTCTGTCTGTGATGGACTTGCCCCGGGGGCTGATGAACTTCCGACTTCGGCCAGATTCTGCAGTCCTCATACATGCATGCTCTCAAGCAATGTACAATGTCGACTTTCCTTATGCTAGCTATGCTAGTGGAACAAACACGTTCGGAGCAACCGCCGGCACTGTTTTCTCCCAAAGGCTGTCTCGGATAATCTTCTATGGGTAGCATTCGTGGAGGGGACTCAGACGTAGCCAGACACGATTATCGACGTAGCCAGACACGATTATCTCCGATCCTCTTGTCCTGTTGGTCCACAAGCCCTAATGTGCTCGAATTGTTTTCATGCCGCTATTTATGTAAAACGGCATTGTAAATATAACTCAATGTATAGGATTCGCATGCTAAGTGCGAATGTACAATACCTACCGCCTCAGCTGAATAGGTTTCCCTCGCGAAGCCACTCTCTCCAATTAAAAGAGGGGTTTATATTGCAGCTGTGACGGTCTTAATCTGCTACTTTGCTATCTTTATGCGTAGGCGCTTTCTGGGTTATGTTTCTATGGGCTGGTTATTCCCAATCTTGAAGTTGAAGGATATTAGGATGCGCTGCTGCTGTTGTTGTTACGTCGCTGCAGGCTGTGTCGGAAATATATTCCCGATGGGTTTCGGATTGGACAGCGAGGGTAGTTGATGTTGTTCATACAATTTAGATATGGAGAACGTGTGTCTCTGTTTCGAAGAGTCCGAGCTATCCAGTCTGGTTTCCCATAATTTGATTTCTTGATTTTGTGGTGGCGTAAATGACCTGGTGGTCGAGACTGCTGGAAATGCTACGGCATCACTGAGCAAGAGGACTTGTTGTATCACATGTAGACATGCGCTATGCATTGCTCGAGGGTAGTATTTTGTCCACGTCTACTGATTGATGAATGCGATCCGGGTTCAGTGGATATAATCATGTGAGGGAAGGAAGGTGTGCCCTTTCCTTTGGAGCAAGACTCTTCATTTTGTAGGACTCATGATCGCTTACTGTATGTAGCATGCCAATTCCCGCAAGATACTCAAGCTGGACCGCGCACCTGGCGCGTTTGATTGAAGGTGAAATAAGCCCTTCGCAAATAGTTGTAAACTCAACGCTAAACAGAAAGTGCTTGGGAGGTGACGCCTTTTCCCCAGAAAACCGATAATCCCCATAAAAGCCCACTTACAACGCCGAGAATAAACATCCAAATGCAAAGAATCATCCAGGTACCTCATGACAATACGTGCAGAGTCGATTACTGCCGGCTCTGCGTCCGCCCGAATGAGAAGAACGAGCCCCATCCTCGGTGTGTCGCGGCCGGTCCAGATGCGTCGTCCGGCTTCTCGACCTGGCCCGCGGCCGCGTGGTGTGCTCGAGACGCAGACCGGGTTTCAGCGTCTGCGCGGGTGCCGACCCGGTCCAACTGGCTTGATGGCGTTTTGACGATCGAAGCCCGCTCGATGTCCGGGGTGACGCGCTCGGTCGAGTAGAGCGCTTCGCGCATCTGCCAGCGCCGTTTCTTGAACACGATGAAGATGGTTGTGAACGAGACTGCGCTTTCTTGGTTAGCAGGCTGGGGGGATCCTCCCGTTTCTGGGGGGCGATCTGTTTGCTTGGATGGACGGGGGGACTGACTTCCGACAACGATAACTAAAGCGACGATCGTGCATAGAATGATCATGCCTTTCGAGGAGACGCTTTTCGTCTCCGAGGTCGACGCGGAGTTATTCTTTTGTTCGCCGTCTACTGCGTCGAGCACGCTCTGCGCGAAGGTCTGCGCGATCAGCGCTGCAATGACAGCGGGCAGGTAAAGCCGCCTTGAGAGCATAGTGATGTGTTATTTGTGCGGGTTTAATGACGATCGGAGAGGAACAGGTGTGTGGAAGATCTGGATCGGCGACGCGCAGCGTTGTGTGACTTGAGATCTGGGCAAAAAAAATAATGTCAGTGAAGTGGGAATTCGGGGGGGGTATATGAGAAAGGAGCTTCTGCAGACTGGGTGACTACTCAGGTATCTTTGGGCTTGACTCCTCTGCACGTTCAACACCTAGGGGTTGTGGTGTTTCGAGAAGAGGAGCTGTCCTTGACTGTTCGGTTGTGATAGGCCCGACGAAGACAGCCTTGACCTCTGCTGGATGGGCATTGGGTCGTCAGCTGCATCCATTAGGCCTGGCGAGTGGGCGTTTCAATTCTATGGTGATTGAAACATAGTATCAAATCAGAGACGAAATACGCTCGGAGAAGGCGTGGTGTCGGCGCCTGCAAGTGGCCAATGGTTCGATTGGGTCGGGCCCGTTTGTCGCTGGGGAAAACTGTAGGTTTAGCGCCGTCTCGCACTATAGCACCCACTATACTACACTGCACATACATTCATTGTCTTCCGGTCTAATATTAGGATAGCTTGCAGGGAGCTGCAGATACCTTTGTGCAGATGTCATGCAAATTAGCAACTCTATGAAGAATCGGCAATGCTGCAGAAAATAAAAAGAGTATCGCGCATCTTGGATACATTTAGCGTGATGAATGACCTCTTTCCCCAGTGCTGGTATGACTATTATCTATACACCCAATCTGGAGGCTCATTTACTGTCCGGTCATATTGAAGTATGATGGACTCTCTCATAGCAACAAGCGAAGGCACCCCGCTGATGGCTGCTAGGAAATGTTGTGGATTGCCGAAAAAGGAAGGCACCCACCCAGACCTACGGTCACTCCACCACCACCAGGTCACCCGGTCCTTCACGGCCAGGATTGAACTTAAGTCTACCTAATCCTTTCACACCTCGCACTGATAGCTTACATTGCATTTACCTCCTTCATTGACCTCGTCACTCCTTGCTCGATCTTCATGTTATGCTCTAAACTGGCCTGAGAGCTACGTCAATGTGCAGACTAGCGAGGTGATAAAGATGGCTACCGAGACACCGTCCAACCTCACCACCGCCCCAGCCGGCACAGACAGTACGTTCGACGAGGTAGAGGAACTGTTCTTGCTCCAGATGGCAGTTGCCAACAACGAGCCTCTTTCCCCACAGCTCAAGGCTGTAATGGCAACCCAAGACACTACTGCCTCAACCGACAAATCTGCGGAAAGACGTCTATCGCCATTGCTTATGGAGCGACCGAGAAGCTCTGGTCTGGACTTATCGGCTTTTTCTTTTGCAAAGCCTGCGCAAGGTCGCAAGCCATTCACTCTTCAGGCATCAACTAAGCCATCATCGTCCACAGCTGGGCTGAACAATACTACCACCCAGCACGAGCATGGTACAGCTGAGCCCTCGAACGAGGCAACTAGAAGCTTATCAAGGTAAGTCACTCTAGATGACTAGAGGGAGAGGACTATCTTGCAGACCACTAAGTTTTCCCTCTCCAACTAGTGATCGGCAAAGATCTGGCACGCAAAAGTCACAAACTCGGATCCGAGAAAATACCAGACAAGGTCCTAGACGGCCCTGCTTCCCGCTTTCTGACAGTGGCTTGCATGGTTCGACTTCTGAGAAGGTTGTGGTGCCTGATGCAAACAAATTGCCTATCAATGCCGAACACGGGACCATTGTGTTCGAATCATCGAGTGGGTGGACCTGATTTCCAGATCCAAAGGTACCTGGCTTCTGACATTGCTTGCAGCAAAAGACAACGAGATGAGGAAAACCTTTAGTCCTCCGAGCCATCATCCAATTTCCCAAGCGCCCGCAGTGAGCAGGGCCGACAATCATGGTACGCCTTTGGGTGATGGGCACGGTGCATCTAAGATTGCGCATGCAGCGCAGGATTTGGTCCCTCAAATGCAGATCCCAGAGGCCAGTGAGATGGCCCAAACATACCCGGTGGGCCCTGCAAACGAGAAGTATAGGGTCTCTAAGCGCCGCCGCTCAAGCAAAAGTCGTCATTCACGCAATGTCAAACCAACTCGCATAGCATCAGGAGACGATGGTTCTTCCTTGTCCGAAGAGAGTCTGTTTCATCTGCTAATCGGACGGATAAAGGCTCGTGAAGAAAATGAGGCTGCCGCGGTCGAATTGAGAGAGCAGATGGAAGCTTGCATCTCTGGCCTGGCTGACGAAAATAAAGCGCTGAAGAGTCAACTTGCAGTATCCGACAAGGTCATCCGTAAGAGAACGATCGAACTGGGAGCTTACAAATCCCAGGTCGATGCATGGCAGTCGAAGATATCGAACATCAAAGGCTTTGTCAACCAGCTTGGTTCCGACTTTCAGACCCTCCGTAGCGATGCAAGCCGGCTCTTGGCGGCGAAGAAGAGCGTGCATGACGAAAGGATAGATATTGACAGAAGCATTAGTGATGCTAAGGCACAAGTAGCTAAAGCTTCAGATGCTGCCAGCAAAGGGAGAGAGCAGTTATTGCGGTCAGAGAGCCAGGTTGACCTACTGAAACAGACCCTTTCTGCAACAGAGGAGAAGACTAGATATGTTCGAGGACAGCTTTCCGATGAGAAGAAAAGAACCAGACTTCTTGAGCAATACATCCAAGAATGCTCCCGCAGTCAAGAACCAAAGCTTAATCAGATCAGGGCTGATCAGCTAGCGATTCTGAAGCGATTCGAGGCCGTGTTTCACACTTTGGGTAGCCAGCAACAGCTCTCTCAAAACACCATTCAGCAAATGATCGGTCCTAGCTTAGACAAATGTGTTACAACACTTGATAATCTCTGTGAAAAGATTGCAAACAATGACTCGAGTGTCAAGGACTGCATTGACGGAGTTAAGGGTGAAATATCACGGTGAGCTCTCAAAATTTAGTCAATGCTGCCTTATTGCTGATCACGAACGAACAGCATGGGAGGTGGATTGATTCAACTACACGACTTGACCAAAGAATGCCGCGCAAATGATGGCAGCTATATGACGAACCTGACCGAGCAACTCCAAAGGGTCACAAGTCAGATTGCGAGCGAATCGACGCTGGTCGAGGGAATTTCCAGGAATACGGAGCATTTCGGCGGACTGAGAGAAACCCTTGAGCGCCTGCTACCCTTGACTGATCAATTGAACTGTTCTATTGACGCATTGAAGGACAACGAAGCAAGGCTTTGCGGCCAAATGGAGCAACTCGAAGCCGACCTGGATGATGCGCGGACTCTCAAGAATGCTGAATCTGCTGCACTTGAACTCACGCGTCACGAGTTGGAGAAAGCTCAAATAGAGAACCGGATGCAGAAAGTGGTGGCGGAGTTGGAAGTCATGGCAGAGGAATTGAGAGCAAAGGATCTCGAGAACAAAGCCATTCAATCTTCCCTGCTTAAGACAGAATCACGAACTCAAGAGGTAGAATCTTGTGTCATGCAGCTTGAATCGGAAGTTGTCACCCTGAGAGATGCAGTCAAGAAGAAGGAGAACCAAGTCCGAGAGGAGTTGGGTCGGGCCAGTGTCATCGCTCGCGAGCAGATAAAGGCCAGATACGAACAGCAACACCGCGATCTGCTGAAAGAGAAAGCCGATCTAGCACAATCAGTGGATCTTCTTCAAAAGCAGCTTGACGATACCAAGTCAACATTCGTAAGATGCCCTTTCCCAACTTCTCAAGCATGTGAGCTAACAATTGACAGGATGAGTTCAAAAATACACGAGACAAAGAACATGCCGCTCGAGGTATCCTTGTGAGTGGCCTGTATGACGACTAGCCGGGCGAGTTCTAATTATTTATAGCTTGATTCAAAAGCAAAAGAAGTTGAAGAGTTGACTTGTCGTGAATCCGAGACGGCCACTAAATTAGCCGAGCAAGAGCAAGAGCTGACAAGACTGGCGGAACAGACAGCTCTGGCCGAAGCGCGGAGTACCTGTCTCCAAAATCAAATTGAGGAGACGAACAAGAAGGCACTCGCCCTCGAAAATGACCTTATTAATACTCGTGACGAAAAAGACAAGGTTCTGACAGAGTTGCAGCATAAGCTCGACGCGCTTTTGCAAGACAACATGGAGAAACAAGAAGAGTGTCACAAGATCCAGGAGAGGCTCACAGGTGTCCTAGCAGAACGAGCGGATCTTGAGAGCAGCAAGCTGAAGACAAAGGATGAAATCCACGCACTCCTTAAGCGAGTTCAAGACTCAGAAGCGTGGGTAAACAAACTCAAGGAGCTTCTCGGTCGCGCAGGTCTCGCGGCGGCTACAGACTCGCTTACGGAGGTCTGGAGCAGGTTCGAGGTGACTTTGCTCTCTACGGCTGGCAGTGCGCTTGAGAGTCGACATGATATTCGGGTCAATCCTGTTGAAGAAAGGTTCCTCGGTGCCAGTAGCGGTGGATTGCTTCCCCAGGAGGATATCGAAAAGCCTGAGCAGATCAATTCCAAGTTGACAAGAGCCGCTACTACAGTACCTGACAGCCAGGCAACCACTTGTCTTTCACCAGCAAGGCGAAGCGACAAAATCAGTAATGACGAGGCTTCTGTGGACTCAATGTGCTTGTTGGAGTCAGGTATTGTTCCATTTTCCAGCATCCAGCAGCAATCCCCTCGCACTGAATGCCTGTTCCCAAGCAACGACAGCTTTGACCTCGCAGCCATGCTTATATTCACTCCGGAAAGGGGATCAGTGGTAGATAGCTCTACCGTGGCAGAACTAGCTGCGAACTGTTCTACAAGCTCGCCTAAGCGTAAGGGACAAGACTCGATGGAAGGGCAGCAGAACTCCCCATCAAAAAGTTCTCCGAAGGCCGCAAGCCCTAAGGATGATGGTAGGTCACGCAGAGTTGAAAAAGCACCCACGGTACTCAAGTTACACTTGAGTAGTGGAAACAGCAAACCGGGTGATAACAGAGCGAAGCACAGATCAGTCACATTCGAGACTGAAGTCCCAGCTCCGCAAAAAGGGAAACGCAAATTACACGATATTGAGACTAATCAGAGCCAGGGTAGCTCCGCAGACAGCTTTGATGAGGATAATTCCATGCGTTCGCGAAGAACATACTCTAAGCAGCAACAGCAGTCAATGACTCGGATTCAGGCGAAGTCCAAGGGTCCAGTAGCAAGCGCCTCCAAAGAAGACATTGCACATGAAGTCACTGAAGCTGGAACGTCCCGCTCTATCATGAACAAGAGGACTAGAGTGTCCTTCGACACAATCAAGACTACATCGCAGACGAAGACAGTGACGGAGTACTTCGATCGCAAATCGAGCCCTGAAAAGCTTGCTTCTGGGAGCAGTAGACCTGCGCTGAATGATAATCAAACTGGATTCCAGAAGAAGCCGACTCGAGGTGGTAGAGGCGGCGGCCGAAAAACAAGAGGTGAGTAGGTTCTGATGGCTAACCAAGTGTTCGTTGCTAAAGCACCAAGGTGATCGCTATAATGCCCGCTTCAGCCGAGGAAAGTAAATTCCAGCAAGATATGCCCAATTCGCGGACTCTTCCACGCCGATAATGGTGTGAGTATGTGAAAACATCGAATTCTTTTTGCCTGTTTGTTGATTTATGGTGGTTTAGTTGATATCCTTATGCGATGAACTTGTGATGTTGATGAAACTGATAAATCTCTCATATGTGCTTTGAACTTTTCAGTTCATGAAAACATTGATATTGACTTCCTTGCAGGCGAGTTTTCCAGTGAGAAGGAATTTGTGAAGTAATTTGTGATATATTGAACGATGATGGACCCAAATTGTACTGCTCTAAAACGCCAGAATGCAACACAAGAAAAGCAGACAGCTTTGACATACATGGAGATGTTGAGTGCATCCCACAATTTGAAGTCTTGGCTGTTGCGCTGTATAATATACATGATCATATCTTCAAAAGTTGGAGAGAGTTCGGCGACTCGCTGCATGGAGGTGGTGGCCGTGTTGGTTGTTCCGGTGTTCTCCGCCAATCGATAACCATGAAGCGAGGAAACGGTATCAGGGATTTGTCCAAGCCGAGATCTGTTCTGGGAGTGTTGCGACAAAGACGAACCAACGATCGAATGATGCGCGAGACGCCGTTTGACGGCAGCGAGAGCTTCCGTGGAGCCGACGAACCACTTTATTTGTTCCGACCACCCTTGGTCGCCTCCAGGAAGAGAACCTGCTTCTTCACGACGGGATCGTACTTGAGCATGCTGAGCGGACGGTGCGTACGCGGCCGGACCATTGTGCGGTAAAAGCCAGTCATGGCCATCGAGATGAGACGGACGGTGATGGTACGGGACTTGGCTATACACGTGGAAAAAAAAGAGATTAGCTTCTGGTCGTAGACATGTCTCTCAAGTGCTACAAGGACTGGGGAAAGTGATGCGACGTTTTTTTCTTCTTGTCCGACCGGGCTGGATGTCCCGCTAGCCGCGGGCAATTGAAATTCAAAGGTGCTGTCAATCGAGGAAGTACACACCTTTCTTGGCCATTTTGTGCAGGAAGTGTGATGAGCGCGTTGAGGTTGTGAGGCGTAAGGTTGGTGGTTCGGAGGATCAAAGTCTTGCGTCTGCGCGATCGGGGATGCGGAGGTCGCGGCGGAGGTTTGGTGGAAACTTTGGCTGTGCCTCTTCCGTTATGCAGTCACGTGATTGGGCGGTGAGGGCTGTACTGTGTAGATTCCACTTCCAAGTTGTCTAACGCGGGCTCCTTTCCCGATGGGGTTTAGACCAGGGCGGAATGATGGATTATGGGTCTTGGTTTTTGGTGCAGTGGGTGCTTCTACATCTGCACTCATCACTACAACAGTACAACTATCTCTACATGAACGTTCAACTCCTGAGAGCGGAGTTCTTGTTTCTCTCGGAATGCTTTGCTCGACTTTTAATGCTTGTCTACTATTTTTCTTCGGTTCTTGCCACTCAATCGGTCACTGCTACCTCAGTTCTTGATTCACAGTGCAATCGCGTCCCGAATTATGGGCGGCACGTGGCTTGTAGCTGCGAGGCTGGAGTTGAGACCTTTGCTCTGTAACAGCTGATCAATCGCAATACTTGACAGACGATATTCACAGACACGAAACAAACTATCAATTGGGCATCAAACTTCATTGCTTCAGGACGGTGGGTGCGATGCCCAATACCGCTCTGATAGTAAGAAATAGAATCCGACACTTGGTGTGCTGGAGATACGCTACACGCCCTCCCATGACCTTTCCTGCTTTTTCCACAAGCCGCACATTCGTTCTCCTTCAGGATGGGAACAATATGGAGATCCCTCGATTCTACTTACCGACTGGGACCCGATGCTCGAACTACGTTTGCCAGAACTCGTTTGAGATACCATTCTCGTCTCTGCTTCTCAGGAACAACGCGCTCGTGTGGGCAAGACTATGCATCCTCAGACCCCAAGGGTAGGAGACCAGGTGGTTTTTGTTCCCATGATCGTTTCGTGATGGTCGAGAAACAGGGAAAAGTGATAATTACCATCTCCAACCACCCAATCCATCATCTATACTTCTTGTCCCGGCATGTTTTGCTAGTGCCGGCTTTCTGTTGCTCCCGCGCATGCACGCCATCACCCGTGTGTGGATCGTCGATGATGAACGTCTTGACCGACAGCCGCAGAAATCAAGGTCTAGACATCATCTGCCTCCGTCCTCTTACGAGCGCACGGCTAGTCTCGAAGTCTACATGGCTTGTCAAGCTTGATAAGGGAAGGTGTAGAGGCTAGCTTTGGGCTCGGGGTGGGACGGATAAGTCGAGGAAACTTTGTTTCTGGCAGCAGCATTACCGGCGATATCAACATCGCGCATACTTCGACCTTTCCGCGACCTTTGGAAATGACCAACTGCCCACCAAGAAGCTTGTCGAATTGCGGGGGGTTCGAGCGCCATTCGAACTCAAAAGATGTGTCCTGACTGAAAGTATGTTCTGGTACCGGATGGCACATTAGACTTCCCCTTGGATTGTCAGGCGACCCGGACTTATGCGCTATTGGCCCCTGCTATCATGGAGATCTATGCGGGTGCACCAGCCACACTTAACGGGGCACGGAGTCTTCATAGTATTTCCACGGGGTTGAGTTCGTGAGTCGGATTTAGGTAAGGCTAATTTCCTTTTTGGTTTTCCAACGCAACATGCTGCATATGACTCAGGAGGGAGCTTTAATATTACTTCGTGGCTGGCATAGGGCACTGTATTCCAATCGGATTCTTCGTGATCTTTGTTCAGATCGTGTTATTGGGCGGGAGTTACCTATGCGCTTTGTGATTTGTCAACTTTATAGGTGGGAGGGAAGAAAAATTCTATGGATGGTTCTTCTTATTGTCTTTCTCCGAGGAGAATTTCTTTTCTTGCCTTTTTTTCGTTGTTTTTCCGTTTTCCTTACCACATATCGTTTTCTTCGTGGTTCTCACCATACTCACTTGCAGCTTCGAACGTCTCGTCGATAACGTCCCCTTCCAGATCCATGCTGACATATTCGACCATGGGAAGGTTGAGATCCTGCACAAGGAGACGGGTTATGTCGGATACCGGAACCTCGGGTGGAGTGGCAGTGTCGTGGTATAGCAGATTGTTGTCCAAAGTTGCGCCTTGAAACGTGGGCCATGGCATGTCCGTCGCCCATACCCCGCAGCAAGGGCAAGTTGGAATAACCACTCTGGAGTCGCGTGTGTCAGGCCGGTTACGGGGATATGGCTCCCATCGATAGGAAGCGGAACCGGGCCGGGTTGTGACAGCAAAGCTGCTTGGTGTTGGAGGGTGCGTTGATGTAGGCCGGCGTCGCGGATTCCAGTTGCAATTACATGGGCCAGGGCGGTCGACCCGCACCGGTGTTTCACGGCGAACGTCCCAGTTCAGCGGCCTTCCGGCATCCTTCCGAATTAGCAGCTCCTGGATTGCACTCGCTGAGCTCGGGGCTACCTCGCGATCTCCATATTCCTCGACTAAACACAGGTAGGACTCGGGAATGGAAGATTTGAACAGGAACCGTATGATGTCCACTGTCGATACCACTGGAGCTGGGTCTGCCTCTGCCCACCGAGCTGCCTGCAACCGCTCCACCGCTCGGTCTCTTGGGCCGGTGTCACCGTTGGTGCAGCTGCTGATACTCGGAGCCTCAGCTTCCAGAGTTTGCATACCATTCATGATATTCAGCTCGCGCAGGTACTGTCGGTGTAGAAGCTCTTGTCTATCAATCTTCTGGAGCTCTTGAAAAACTTCCCACTCGAGCATCTGTCGATTATACTGCCTAAAACTCCAAGCCAGCCAGCGGTCACGAGCAAGGCCCTCGGTATCGGAGTCTGTGCTTGGAATGGGCATGGGCACCCCCAAATCCAGGCGCTGCCCGGGAAGCGAGCGTTCGTATTCGTCTAGGCGAGCTTCCTGTTCCTGCGTCATGATGCAATAGATGATGCGGGGGCGGTCAATCTTACCAGGAGAACTGGGGTCAGGGGGAGGAGGAGGATCGTGCCGGTCAGGATCGCGTGCCTGCTGGCGCAGGACGCGAAGTCTTCGATTGCGGTGGCATTCGAGGTTCTGGCACGGCGGTTGCATGAAGCCATTCGGTCCACAGCAGCGACACTGGCCGTCCAGCACGGGCGGAAATCCATGACTCGCGAGCCCTCGGCGTGCGCCTAGGGCCGCCCTGCACATTCCACATGACTCCGACTCCGTACTCCCTTCGTGCCAGAAGCAGTTCAACCACGTCATCTTGAAAGAGCTCGAGCTTCTGATGAAGCGGAACTTGTAGGAGGCTTTGTTGTTTTTTTGGTGTCGGTGTCTTGGAAAGGTTCTAGGTGGGCGCTTCTAGGACTGTTCCGTTGGACAGAAGGGGGGGAAGGGGACGCTCTGAAGGAGCAAAACATAGATGCATTATATATTAGCTTTATGGCTGCAATGCTTTGTTGCTGGACAAAGACAGTTGATGCACATCTTCCTCGAGGGCTGTACTTGATGCTAAGATCTCCGGCTGAAAGATAGAGCTTGAAGGGTACCTCAGCTGGAGAGCTCCTCTTGCTAATATCAACAATCGGTAGATGTCCCGGAAGCTTGTGTCCGACGGATTGAAAGAATCATGAACTGGAAATGCCCTTGAGTTGAGGTGCATCTTCACTACGAGATTGGGATATCTGCTGCATTGGATTTCGGGTGTAAGTGACCTTTCTGCACTACCCTCGGCAGTGATACATATTCCATTAGAATCCCCTCCGCTTTAACTTACATGTTTGAGGCGCAAGATCTTGGTCGGTGCATCATGGCTCGAGTCGCTGCCTTGTCATGTTACTATGCTGCATGGCTAATACTGGATTCTAGATACATAGCCGAGAAGATTCACTACCAACACTCCAACAGTACCCATCGCAAACGCCCCTCGCGCAAGGCCATGTAGACCTTACTTACCTGAGACCCGATGGTCAACTTCCCCGCGCTCCGAGCCCGATCGACCGTCGGGTGATCCGCAAACCCCTGATGAAGCGGGACGCCCAGCTCCTCCCGCACAAAGGCGTAGAGCCGTCGCGACGCGCCGCAGAGGTAGGCTGGGGTGGGAAGGGAGGTGGTGGTCTGCGTGAAGCGCGTGGCGCGAACAGTCTCGTAGCTCTCGCGCAGCGTGCAAGCGAGAGTGCGCTTCCACGCGCGGAGCGATGGCCCCTCCGTCTCGCCAGCGCCAGCGCCAGTCTCCGGCGATGGTAGTAGGTCGAGCAGGGTGCCGGCGGTGCTCGTGGCGGTACTCGTGCAGCGGTCGGCGAGGTCGAGGGTGCTGGATCGGGACCAGTGGTACATCAACTCGGCCCAGATGGTGGTGCGGATGTGTTGGAGGGTCGAGGGGTCCGCCGCCGCCGCCGTTCCCTGGCACGATGCAGCAGCAACCACCTCGTCGGTGAGAGCGTCGACTTTGGGCCGCACATCGCGCAAGAACTCGGTTTGCAAGACGCGCAGGTCCAGCGCCTGGCACAGCACGTACAGGAAGGTGGCGGTCATCAGGGCCAGGACCTCGACGGCGTCGGCGGCGTAGCGGCACCCCACCAGGGCCAGCGAGTTGAGGCTCTGGTTGTGCATCTCGGCGGACTGCACGTGGTTGCTGACGGGGTGGTTGAGGTAGCCCAGCTCGGAGAGGTAGGCGGCCATGTTGATGTCGAGGCCCTTGAACGCGTACGACAGGCTGGGGTCGTCGAGGCTCAGGTTCGGCGGCAGCCCGTGGCTGAGCGCCGGGTTCAGCAGCTCCGAGCACTGCGCGAACAGCATCTTGCCCACCATCTGCACGCACCCCAGCGTCTTCTCCATCGCCGACGTGATCGCCGCCGCCTGGAAGTTGCCCCCGTGGTGGACATGGCGGCCCGCCACGCTGATCAGCGGGTTGTCCGTCGTCGAGTTGAGCTCCGTCGCTACCTGCCTGAGCGCCAGCGCCATCGTCTCGAGCTGAGGTCCCAGCCACTGTGTCGCTGTGCGCAGGGCATACCGGTCCTGGCTGAGCCCGGCGTGACCCGCGGCGTCGGTCATGCTGCTGCTGTTGCCCGCAGCCTCACCCTCCGTGGACCGCGCCGCGAGACGGGAGTCGGCCAGGAAACCGAAGATGTTGGCGGCCGCTTCGATCTGCCCGTCGTGGGGTCGCACGGCCGCGATAAACGGGTGGTAGTTGTCCGCCTGGCCGGCGAGAGCCTCCGTGGCCATAGCGGTCAGGAGCTGTGAGAGGAGGATGAGCTGGTTGACTTCAAAGAGGACCAGACTGGCGGCGCCGCAGCTGAATGCCGTCCCGTTGAGCAGACCGAGTCCCTCCTTGGGTCCTAGATCGAGCGCGGGGAGTCCCAGCTGCCGGAGGGCGTCGTCCGCGGGAAGGATCTGGTCAGTCTCGTGGACATGCACGGAGATGTCGGGGTTGCCCTCCAAGGTGCCGGCGATGTAGGAGAGCGGCGCCAGGTCGCCCGAGGCGGAGATGCTGCCCCGGAGCGGCACGACCGGCGTCATGCCGTGGCGCAACAGCGTGAGGATATGCTCGACCACGACCGGCCGCACGGCCGAATGACCGCGGAGCAGGGAATTGCAGCGCGTCAACATCGCCGCCCGGACCACGGGAATCGGCATGCTATGGCTCCGGTGGCAGGGGCGGAAGGTGGTGGCGGCGGCGGCACCCCAAACCCCCGGGGAGGATTGTTGTCGATCGCTGGGCAGAAGAACGCACGAGGTTTGCATCTGAATTAGGGCCTTCTGGAGGCCGGCGTAGTGCGTGGTCCGCGTGTCCGCACTGCCGCCGAACCCCGTGTTGACCCCGTACACCACTTCGCCGCGCTGCAGCTGCTGATCCAGAAAGTCCACGCTGGCTTCCATGCTTTGACGGATAGTGGGGTCACTGGTCATGGTGGCATGCTGGCCGTATCTGGGGTAGATTTGATTAGGGGGTGGAGGGGAAGTGAGTGGATGGACCGGGGTCCGGGGAAAGAAAACATACTGAGCTACGACAACCACCGCACCCACATCAAGGGCACTTCCGTTCAGCACAATTGGGGTCTTGCTTGTCAGTAGATCCTCTACCCTTTGACAGGAAGAGAGCACACTCTCCGTGAGGGACAGGCCACGAGCATTGCGCAATGTTAAGTCTCCCATTGTGTTTGTTGGGGCACAATATGGTCGGGTCCCCCGTCGATTTACTGTTGAGGTTGTCGGTACGGTGACCGGTGAGAGCCTGTCTGTTGAACAGCTTTATTTATCGTGGTTGTTTTTGGTCGTCCCAGACAGCCTGACCCCTCGCCAAGGATAACCCCAAATAGGCAAAAGAGGAATATTCTGCAGGCGGGGATGAAGAATCGAGAAGATGGAGACGGTAAGACAAAAATGGACTTACCTCCCTATCCCAATGCCTTAGTTAGGCTGTTCATGTGCAGAGGCTTGGACCTGTTGACTACTACTAGCATTTTAATTGCATCGTTAGTCCTTTTCTGGCGGCATCAGACGCCAAGATGGAGAAGGATTTTTAGACACAGGCCGGCCGGCCGGGCCGTCTGCTTGACCAAAAGCAAATCATGCAGAAGCAAATGGGAAATAGCGGTGTAGCTCACAGCCTTTAAGGGGGATGGGATGGTTGAAGGTAGACGAGGGCCCTTGCAGATTTGCAGATTGTAGGGCAGGGTATGTTCAGGTATGTTCAGGTATGTGGCAACCACCGCCTTACATTCTGCTCGTTGATCTGACACAGCAGCAGAAGCTGAGCAATACTGGCACTGCTTTGGTCGGCCGGGATATACTCCTGACCACCAACGCTCTCACTTTTACATCCGGGATATCTTGACTGCAAACGGAAAACATGAATCAGGTGTAGATGAAGTTATCATTACAAGGACATCCATCATTTGCAAGCGATCTGCACGGGGGGTCATGCTCGTGCTTTCCACTAGGTTGGCCTCGAACAGCATGTGGCTGTGCATGAATTGAGACAGAACACCGTGTATATCATTCGTTTGCCATTGCCACGATGCGGCGAAGACTACACCCCCTCGACGAATACGGTGAACGCGTGCAGTATGGATGAGACACGGGGAGCTCCCCTCCATTCCCTTACCAGCTCACGATCTTCCTGCATGGCACGACGCCTCCAAACCAGAACAGTACAGGGAGAGTCGAGACCCCCGTCAGTAAGCCCAACACCCCGGTCATCGTGGCCCAACCCGCACCTTGGCGAATGTAGCCCGCCAGCAGAGGGCCGGCAATGGAGCCAGCCGCGTAGGCGGAGTTGGCCAAGCCGTACGCCAGGCCCATAGCCCCCTGGGTGCCAAAGGTCGACGGGGCCTCCTGCTCCTTCTCCGCCGCGGCATACGAATTCTCCGCCAGGACCAAGGGGAACAACAGACTCATGCACACCCCTAGCAGGAAGAGCAGGACACAGAGGAGGACCTTGTGCGCAAGGTCATTGTCGGAGACCAGACGAAGAAGGACGGCCGGGGGCACACTTAGCAGCAACGCCCCGCCGGCCAAAAGCCGACGATGCTTGGAGGGGACTCGGTCATTGATCCAACCGACCAGCGGGCCCAGAAGGCTGGGCACGAGGAACGGGATGAAGATCAACCCCTGCGCGGTCTGCGCCCATGCGTAGGCGTCCTGGACGAACAGCGGTAAGGCGCTGTCGAACGCGGAAATTACGATCGAGATCACGAGACACGTCCAAAGGACGACCAGAATCCGAGGCGAGGAGAACAGTCTCCAGAGGCCCTGGAGACCGGTATGCGACTGCAGCGCTGGAGGTGCAGCAGGTTCGGACTCATCCTCAGGTTGATCGGCCGGTTCCCGCGCAGGGTCGGCCAGGGAAGGTCCCCCGTCCGAACCACCACGAACGGGCTCGGGGGCATGTGTCCTCTCAATGACCAGCAGCCGCAGGCCCAGATCGAGGCCGATCAGGACAAACGCCACGATGAAGACCGAGTAGTACCCGGCATGCTCATAGACCGCACCGCCGATGAGCGGGCCGATGAGGTTGCCGATGGTCATACCCATGCTCATATACCCCATGGCGTGGCCCAGCTGCTCCTCGGCAACCGTATCCACCAGCAATGCGCACGAGACGGTCCAGACGATGGCGGCGGCGGCCCCCTGGAGGAGACGACCTGCGATCCAAAAGCCAATGCGGTTCCCCGCGCAGAGCAGCGCCGTCCCCGCGCCGAGGGTCAGCACTCCGGCCACCATGGGCCACCACCGCGACTGGATGCGATCGGAGACGTAGCCGCTGAGGGCTGGACGTGTGGAGGGGGGTCCAGCGTTAGCCTCGGAGGTGGGATTCTCTTAAGGTCGTGAACGTACTCACGTGCAACAGAGAACTGAGCAGCGCCGTAGAGCGCGATCAGGATCGAGGTCCATGTTTGCTCTGTGCTTGTGGGACGGGAGATTAGCGACACGACGGAGAAGACAACTCGCGAGAGAATCATCATTTACCGTCATTTCTGGATACTCCGAGTCGGTTATTGAGCGCAGTAGGAACCACAGGGACAATCTGACGCGGCTTTAGCTATGGGACTGATTGAGAGGGCTCGGATGGATTGGGAATTCTTAACAAGCATACCA